GTTCATCCAGCCCTGCACATTGTTGTCTCGGATTCTCCAGCATCTGCAGTTCCTACTATCTCTGTGCATAACCTGGATTGGCTTGTGTCAACAAGCAAACAGAATGTTTGTTTTCTATTTGAAAGGAAAAATACTGAACAAATAGAACTTCTGGAAATTTAAGGAACGAGGGGCCTTTGTGGCCTTGCTTGTGAAAATTCATGGACAAGACTAGAGATGACCACCATAATTTTGAAGGACACTGGAAGTTTTAACTCTGTATGGCAGGGAGAAGAGATGGGATTATGGAATAACTTTCTGTAATGCTGCATATCTGTTACATATAAGGTATATAATGAGATGGTTTTAAGATGTGTCCCAGTTGAATTAGCTGGTTAATGTCCATTCTCAGTCTCCAAACACACAGTCCATCCTGCCCCTTCATCTGCCAGAAGTGCCTCTTTACTCAATAGACCTGACCTTCCTTTAATCTTCCAAATTGGCAAATTACAACACGGAGCCCTTTCAAATCACTCTAGAACAAATGGGCATCTGTAGTAGCTTTTGGTGGTCACTATAGATATGCTGTCAATGTTATAATCATTTTGAGCAAATATTTAAAATCAGATCAATGTTTTGAAAGATGGGGGTCCAGTGGAGCTTGATGAAGATACAGGAACCAGTATTGTGGACCAAACACATCCACACATCATGGACCATTTGCAGCTTGTATAAGGAAGAGTTCAGAGGCATTTGAGAAGTTGAATTTTGGAGTTTGGAAAGTCTTTTAGCTACACAAGGTATGCGCTGGGATTAGTGTGATGGTAGTGATGGTGGTGGTGTAATGTTATGGAAGTGAAAGGACCTGTCTGCTTAGGATACAAACCAAGACTGTAATACATATCCTGTAATCTCCCTGGAATCTGGCATGCTTGGGGAATGGTGCTAGTTAGTTGAATTTTGCATTAGAAATACTATTGGTGGCTGGGAGAACTTGATTCATTACTACCACAAGATAAGTGCGGATTTAAAAAATGGTCAGGATGATTTATAAATTTTAATGATCAACATCAATAAACCCAATATATATTTATTGAGGATTAACTTTACACATTTTTCCAAGAGTATATACTGCTATTGCCTTCATGCCCTTAACTTTCGTATATGGTTTAGCCAGTAAAATTATACATCAATGGAAAGAAAAATTCAATATTTCTGCTGACATTTTGCTATCAAACTGCAAGTTGCGATGTTAAAACAACAATGACTGAGCTCCTAGAGTAACCTCTTCACGAACAGTTCTTTATTTCATTCCAAACCATCTTGCATTGTTGATTGCATTTTATTCATGAGGCATTTCTTAAATGAATAAGAGGCAATCACAAACAAAAACTATTGAGAAGCATATGACATCTCCACCATTCTGTGAAGGATTGCACGGAAGTGTGGAAATTCTATTGTCTACCAGCAGATGGCAGCATGAGTTAGTGTTGATCATGTTTCTATTTCTGATATTTAGAAGTTCCTCAAATGGCACTGAGATCCTTTGGGGATTTTACTGGTTTCTTGCCGGAGTTATCTGATCCATCTGAGTTCTGGTGTGGCTTGATTGATAGAAGGGACTGTCCATCAGCAGGGACACATATGGCGAGACAGATGTGCAGAAGGGAGCTTAATTACTCAGATGACTCTACTATACTCTCACCCAAATGTCAGTGGAATAACACAGCAAAATGTGAGGACTCAGATACACAGTCTCCCGCCTTTACTTGCAAATTTCCATTCAGCCCTATTGGAGTGGAGCCTCCAGTTGCTCTTTATGTGGAAAAACTGCGAAACTGGATTCAATGGAAATCGGAGCAAACTCTCCACTGGTTCGACACAAACACCACCATCACCATCCCTGGATATATCCTGTCCCACCAGCAGGACAGACCCAGCAGAGGTTGTGGCACGGTAAGAGTGACCATTGCACAATCCTTGTGGAGATGGAGTCCCGCCTTCACATTGAGAATAACTTCCATCGTGTTGTGTGGCACTATCACCGTGTTAAATGGGACAGACTTCCCACAGATCTAGCAGCTCAAAACTGGGCATTCATGAGGCACTGTGGGCCATCAACAGCAGCAGATTGTACTTGAATACAAACTGTAGCATTATGGCCTGGTATATCCCCCAATCAACCATTACCATCAAGCCTGGGGATCAGCCCTGGTTCAGTGGAGAATGAAGGAGGGCATACCAGGAGCAGTACCAGGCATACCTGAAGATGAGGTATCAACCTGGAAAAGCCACCAAATTGGACTACTTGCATGCCAAACAGCGAAAGCAGCAAGTGATAGACATAGCTAAGCGATCCCACTACCAACAGATCAGATCTAAGCTCTGATGTCCTGCCACATCCAGTTGTGAATAGTGGTGGACAATTAAACAACTCAGTGGAGGAGGAGGGTCCACAAATATCCCCATCCTGAATGATGGAAGAGCCCAGCACATCAGTGCAAAAGATAAGGTTGAAGCATTCGCAGCAATCTTCAGCCAGAAATGCAGTGTGGAAGATCCACCTCGGCCTCGTCCAATGGTCTTCACCATCACAGACACCAGTCTTCAGCGAATTCAATTCACTCCATGTGATATCAAGAAATGGCTGGAAGCACTGGATACTGTAAAGGCTATGTGTCCTGACAACATTCTGGCAATAGCCTGAAGACTTGTGCTCCAGAACTGCCGCTCCCCTAGTCAAGCTGTTCCATTACAGTTATACACTGGCACTGCCTGACGATGTGGAAAATTGCCCAGATATGTCCTGTGCACAAAAAATCCAACCTGGCCAATTACCGTTGCATCAGTCTACTCTTGATCATCAGTAAAGCAATGGAAGATGTCATCAAGAGTGCTTTCAAGCAGCACCTGCTCAGCAATAACCTGCTCAGTGATGCCCAGTTTGGGTTCTGCCAGCAGCACTCAGCTCCTGTCGTCATTACAGCCTTGGTTCAAACATGGACAAAAGAGCTGAATTCCAGAGGTGAGGTGAGAATGACAGCCCTTGATATCAAGGCCTCATTTGACCAAATGTGGCATTAAGGAGCCCTAGCAAAACTGGAATCAGTAGGCATCAGGGGGCAAACTCTCCGGTGGTTGGAGTCATACCTGCCATATAGGAAGATTGTTGTGGTTGTTGGTGGTCAGCCATTTCAGCTCCAAGACCTCTCTGCAGGAGTTCCTCAGGATAGTATCCTAGGCCCAACCATTTTCAGCTACTCCATTAATGATCTTCCTTCCATCTTAAGGTCAGAGGTTGGGATGTTCTCTGATGATTGCACAATGTTCAGCACCATTCATTACTCCTCAGATATTGAAGCAGTCCATGTTCAAACGCAACAAGGTCTGAACAAATCCAGACTTGGGCTGTTAACAAGTGGAAAGTAACATTTGTGCCATACAAATGCTGGACAATGACCGTCTCCAATAAGATGCAATGTAACCACTGCCCCTCAACATTCACTGGCATTACCATCTTTGAATGCCCAACTATCAACATCCTGGAATGACCATTGACCAGAAACTCAATTGGACAAGTTGATAGGGTTGTAAAGAAGCCATGTGGTGTGTTGGCTTTCATTGGCAGGGGAATTGAGTTTAAGAGCTGCGAGCTTATGATGCAGCTCTACAAAAATCTGGTTAAACCACACTTGGAATATTGTGTTTAGTTCTGGTCACCTCATTATAGGAAAGATGTGGAAGCTTTAGAGAGGGTGCACAGGAGATTTACCAGGATGCTGCCTGGACTGGAGGGCAGGCCTTATGAGGAAAGGTTGAGGGAGCTAGGGCTTTTTTCATTGGAGCAAAGAAGGATGAGAGGTGACTTGATAGAGGTGTACAAGATGATGAGAGGCAGAGATAAAGTGGATAGTCAGAGACTTTTTCCCAGGGCAGAAATGACTACTACAAGGGGGCATAATTTTAAGGTGATTGGAGGAAGGTTATGGAGGAGATGTCAGAGGTAGTTTCTTTACATAGAGAGTGATGGGTGTGAGGAATGCGCTGCCAGCAGTGGTAGTGGAGTCATATACTTTAGAGACTTTTAAGCGCCTCTTGGATAGGCACATGGAGGATAGTAAAATGTAGGGTATGCAGGGTAGATTGATCTTAGTAGGATAATAGATCGGCACAACATCGTGGGCTGAAGGGCCTGTACTGTACTGTTCTATGTTTCTATGTTTCTAGGTAAGTATGCTAGAAGAGTAGGTCAGAGGCTAGGAAGACTGCAGTGAGTAAGTCACCTCTTGACACCCCAAAAGCATGTCCATCATTTACAAGACACAAGTCAGGACTGTGATGGAATACTCCCCACTTACCTGCATGTGTGCGGCTCCAATAGCACTCACGCAGCTTGATACCATTCAGGACAAAGCAGCCCACTTGCTTGACATTACAGCCACAAGCATCCACACCTCCATCATTAATGCTCAGTCGTAGCAGTGTGTATACTCAACAAGATGCACTGAAGAAGTTCACCAATGATCCTTAGACAGCACCTTCCTTACCATCTCCTCTCCCCTTACAAGACTTTCCCCTTCTTACCATCTGCTTTAGACCAATGGGAGAGATTTACATTTGATTATCAATCAGTTTTGACATGGTCTTAGCGTATCTTCAATGGCCATCAAGTCTTGTAGTGGGAATTGAACCCACAGCTCCTAACTTAGATGCGACCAGAAGAACTCTACACTAGCAGGATAATAGTTAGTTAAATGTTACCTGTTCTGCGGTAGTAGTAGACCACTGGAAGACATGGAGCATGGCGCTGCCTCGTGTGAGCCTTACAGGTGGAGCCCAACCTCCATACCATGGACACAGAAGAGAGTGGCCTGCTTTGTCCCAGATGGGTTATGTTTTTGAGATCAACATTTTTTGGGTTGGGGACAAAGGGAAATCCTCAACAAATGATACGTTATTTGTTCAGAGAGTAATGCTGAACAAGACAAGAATGTTCCTTGTTGTTCTTGAGTTCCCTTGCAAATTCTTGCAAAGTAGACTAAGCTTAACCTGCACCAGCCCTAGAATGACTGTAAAGATTGCTGCTATCAGGTTGGAATCCCTAGGCTGAAACATTTATATTTACTTTAAATGTTACAAAAGATAATTTTCTTTACAAAAGATTTTCACCATTGAATAATGAAACTGGACTTAATCAACTTTTTCAAAGAAAACTATAGTAAATCTTATCTAGTCCTAACAATTATTTCCTGGCCATTAAAATTGCACTGAAATCAGGTCCCAACAGCATTGCACAATGTCTCTAAATAACTTGGTTGTAATGAGTAACTTTATTGTTAAATACTACAGCAATCTAAGATTTAGTGTACAAATTAAGACTGAACTATGGTGATACAAATGAGTTTTTTTTTCAATGTAACAGTTGGTTACTGTTTATTTCACAAAGTAAAATTCACTCACTGTGCAGCAGTAATTCTCTGAGCAATCAGACGTTTATGGTTCTTTCGTTTTCAAAATTGCATTTCCTCCAACAGTCAAAGTTGCTTTGCAATCTGCTGGTCTTAATGTTTTCCGAGAATTACAATCGCAATATTTTGCTCATTATGATACAGAAAAGAGTGTTGCAGCCTTATATAGACCTTTGAATGTGGCAGTCACGTGTCATTCATGTGATTTACTTCTCTCCAGCATTTTCATATCCTCTGGTGCCACGCCATAAGACATGTTTTAAAAGTAGAATGGTAACCACACCCCTTGAGATAGGGTACTGATACATTAAATACTCCTGCTTCAAATGATGCTCTCACTGATACTGAGTACTACCAGTTCTTGTGCCCTTTTGAAGTCAGATCTCAAACTGGAAACTCAGTGGTTCCAGGTCTTCGATCATCGATAGGACTCCAGTAGAAATCCACAGCATGTTCCTGATCGGGATACTCCTCATTTTATATCCGGACACCTTTTCAGTAGTTCCGTCACTACTGAGTGGTTCCTCATTGCTGGGAGGATAGTACATAGAGTGTAGCTGCATTGTGTAAAAACCTGCAGCTACTTAAAAAGAATGAGAAACATGAACACATTTGGAAAGACATAGAAATGCAGAAGAATGAACAGCACCAAAGGTTTTTGTTGCGGCACAGTCCTCAGAGACTTCTACGCATTGATGAGATGAAAGTAAGGGAAGGGTTGATAGGAAAGTCCATTGCCAGATATTGCTGTCAGTTTCATTGAGTAAGGATAGCATATTTGAAATCTGGGTCTAAGAATTGTGAAATTCAGCCTTTTTTTTTATCATTCTTCCTGAAATTAAAATAGTGAATGAATATGATAGTTAATATTCAAACTCATCTTGAAGACCACACACATAATTATTTCCATGGTTATGGTGTTGGTACCTGCAAACATCTTTGTGAAACATTGTGCTAATCAGATATCTTTCTTAACCTGAGTTTTCATTACAAAACGTTGACCACGACCTTTGGAAAATTATACCGTGGGCAGCGGACTGACTGTCATTAGAGGAAGAAGCTCCACTCACTGGGAAACATACATGATAAGCAGTGGGATAAAGGCAAGCTGCTAGAAGGACATTACTGTAGATGGGGTCGTCCAAAATGTGTTGTCGCAGTCTCTATGGTTACTCAGTTGCAGTTTCAATAAGGAAAACAAATTTGTCTCGTGCTTTGCACTGGAAGTCTCAAAGTGCTTTACAGGCAATTCAATATTTTTGGAATGTGGTTAATTTCATAAATGTCATGTGTTACCATCTATCATCTAAAAGATGCACAGTGGCAACTTACTGAGGCCTCCTTGGTAGCATCTTTCAAAACCCACCTATCCGCTCCTCCCACCTCACTGACCAATCCCCACTACTACCTACCTACACTCACCTTTACTAGCTTCATCCCTGCCTCCTTGACATGTCCACCTTCTCTCCCACCTATCCGCTCCACTATCCACTTTCTATCACCACCACCCCCCTCTATTTATTTCAGAGCTCCCTTCCCCCTCCCCCATTTCTGAAGAAGGGTCCCGAAATGTCAGCTTTCCTGCTCCTCTGATGCTGCCTGGCAAGCTGTGTTCCTCCAGCTCCACTTTGTGTTATCTTTCAAAACCACGACCTTTATCACCTGGAATGCCAAGGGCAGTTGTTGCATGGGAACACCACCATCTGCAAATTGCCCTCAAAGTCACGTACCATCCTGACTTAGAACTGCATCTCTGTTCCTTCAGTATCACTGGGTCAAAAACCTGGAACTCCCTTCCTAACAGCACTATAGGTCTACCTACACCTCACAGGTAGCAGCAGTTCAAGAAGGCAGTTCACCACCAACTTCTCAAAGGCAATTAGGGAATGGCAATGAACGTTGGCCTAGTCAGCAATGCTAATATTTCACAAACAAATAAAACAATGTGTAGGAAAACTAACAATCATTTTGCATTCAACAAATTCCCAAAGACAGCATCGTGATAATGACCGTTTAATCCAATGCGAAGAAATTGATTGAAAGGTAAATATAGGGTGGGACACCATGGATAATTCCCTATTCTTCTCCAAAGTAGTACAATGTCATCTTTTACATCTGCTCAAGTAGGCAACTGGGGCCTCCATTTAACACGTCATCTGAATGGTGATACCTTTGACAATTGAGGGGAGGCGATTGCCTAGTGGTATTATCGCTGGACTGTTAATCCAGAGACCCAGATAATGTTCTTGGGACTCGGATTCGAATCCTGTGGAAGGTGGTGGAATTTGAATTCAATAAATATCTGGAATTGACAATCCATTGCTGGTTGTTGGGAAAAACTTATATGGTTCATTAATGTCCTTTAGGGAGGGAAACTGCCATCCTTACCTTGTCTGGCCTACATGTGACTCCAGACCCACCGTAATGTGGTTGACTCTTAACTGCCTTCTGGGCAGTTAGGGATGGGCAATTAATGCTGCCTAGCCAGCAACGCCCTCATCCCATAAATGAATGAAGGAAAAAAGAAACAGTTCTCTACCAGTACCACAATTAACCTTGATTTTTGGACTTCAAGCCTTGGAATGGTACTTGAACCCAGAGATGAGAGCGTTATCAATCATCACTGGCCCAGGGGAAAATCCAGTCTCCTGGTGCTTTTTCTGATTTTCCTGGATGAAAATTGGGACATGAAAATGACCAGAGCTGGACAATCTTCGATGGCTGTGCAGCTGAAGTAGATTTCAAAATTAGGGAAAGATGAATGATATGAATATCCTTGAATGTAAATCTGGAAATTTAGAAATTGAGGCACTGCCATATCTTGAGCCAATGTGTGGGAGTAAGCATAGGGTGATGAGTGAATGGAACACAGTACAAATTAGGATCGAAGCAGCAGAACTTAGAATGAGCTTAAGTTTACAGAGGGGATGAAGTGAGATGCCTGCTAGGAGAATATTAGAATAGCCAGGTCAGCAGATAATAAAGATGTATATGAGGGTCTCAGCAGTACTTGAACAGAGGACGAAGTAGAGATGGGCAATGTAATGGAGACAGAAATAAGAGGTTTTGATGATGAAGAGGATGTGGAGTTGGAAACTCAGCTCAAGATCAAATAGCATAAGAAGGTTGTAAACAGTCTGACTGAGCCTTAGACAATGGCCAGTAATTGTTCTTGCTTTGATTCTGCTTTCCACCCTCAGCTAAACTTGTGTGTGTCAGTGTGCAATGTCAGCACTGGCAGACTTATGTACTGTATCAGGATTGAGATCACCTTTTTATAATTATTCCTAGATAATTACTATCAAGACAATGGAGTAATGGATGGAATAGCAAAATGTTCAGTGATTTAAATCACCAGCAAAAATTCCCTAGAATCACATGGAATCAGGAAATGAGTATGACTCAATGGGGGTAATTGCAAATAATAGCAGAGCATCATGCTGATATTACAGAGCAAGCAAACAGCTTCTTGATTTCCCTAAACAAAAACTGAAAGAACTGCGGGTGCTGTAAATCAGAAACGAAAACAGAAGTTGCTGAAAAAGCTCAGCAGGTCTGGCAGCAACAGTGAAGAGAAACCCAGTTCTGAAGGAGGGTCACCGGACCTGAAACGTTAACTCTGATTTCTCATCACAGGTGCTGCCAGACCTGCTGAGCTTTTCCAGCAATTTCTGTGTTTGTCCCTGATTTTCCCTACCCATTGTCTTTAGCTCCTTTAAACTGACCCCTGATAGAATATAAGGATGTGGAATTCACACACGTTGGTTCCAATCACAGTAATCCCACGTGGCAGAAATAGACATGTTGATGTATTTAGTCACCATAAACCTGTTGGTCTGGTTATAATTTTGCTTCATATATATTCATGTGAACCAGTACAGACCAGTGGGCCAAATAACCTGTTTATGTTCTGCAAATTCTATCTAAAATGTATCTTGAAGTGATATGCAATTAGTCCATGAGAGGGGGCTGTGGAACAAGTAAGAGACTTGCTGTCATAGCTGAAACCTAAACTGATCTCTTCCCTTTTTGGATACTTGTAATCATGCATCTGCAGCAAATTCTGTTCTAATTTCAGACATATAACATTGCATTTTTAAAAGATTATTTTGATAGCAGGAAGAAAGGGCACATGGGTGTCTTTGGGTTGGCATGGACAAGATTGGCCGAAAGGCCCCGTTCTGTGCTGTAAGATTGCTATGGTTCTATGATAGGCTGCACTCTGGTTCCTGTCTACACAAACTAACATATTTTTCTTTTAGATAGTGAGTGAAATGAAGTCCAATTTCACTCCCCTGAGAGTTTACTGCTGTTGTGAAATGCAACTACAGTATTGTTGATGAAGTAAATAGCCTTACAGTATCCAAGCTAATTGCCACTTATTAATATAAGCAAAGAATGCAGCCATGTCAACACTAACAACTATCAGACACGGGCATATATTGTATTTCCTTATTTAATTTGATGTAACCAATAAACCAATATTTAAATACCATAACTGTGACTTGCGGTTTTTGCGCAATAATGAAAATATATTCATTACCTTTGAACTGTGAGGCGGAGAAATGGAAAACAACACAGAGACAAATCCAGAAACCAATCACAAAACACCAAATTGAACATTTGTCCAGATCCCTTGGAAAATGAAAAACTTGTATGAAAGCTAGGATCCCAACAACCTCCTTTGTGATCTTTCAATCAATGTTGTAAGGTCCAGGCATTTTCCCTGGTGTTGACAAGCCATTAGAGAGGCACATTACTGAAAAACCATGTTTTTCCCAGCCAGGCTGCACTTCTCCCATTCCATCCACCACCTCCTAACCTTTTAACATTTCCTAGATTTTCTAATATTCTCTCATGTCTGACTGGTGGTGGTCGAACCTGAAGGTCACCATGCCTCAGGTGAGGGGAGGGGCTGAGAAAGAGAGTCCTTCATGGTAACCTCAACTGGTGCACAAATTGAACCAATGATGTTGATGTCACTCTGCATTGCAAACCAATTATCCAGCCAACTCCTCCCTGAATTATTAGTTTCTATCTACCAAAACAGGTTTCTGCATCAGCGACAGCAGCGTACTTCAACAACTCCACTTCAACTCTGCTAATCTCCAGAAACGTTATCTTTTGTTACCAATCCCTGATACAATCAATACCGAAGACCTCTCTCCTTACCACCATAGGTTTCTCCATTTTGCCCAGCCAAGCATTTACCTCCAATCTGAGATAGTACGAGCTGCCGATGCTGGGGTCTGAGATAACAAGGTGTGGAGCTGGATGAACGCAGTAGGCCAGGCAGCATCAGAGGACCCAAAACGTCAGCTTTTCTGCTCCTCTGATGCTGCTTGGCCTGCTGTGTTCATCCAGCTCCACACCTTGTTACCTCCAATCTGATCACTTTGCATGATGTGTGATAGGGAATGAAAATTAAATATTGCGGTAATGGAATATCCACAGCTATATACATAAAATGAAAAGAACATTTCTTTCGAATTTTTGAAAGTTAGAATATTGACAGGAGATTGAATTCAATCCACAGCAGAAAAGTAAAAATCCCAGAGAATATGTTAAAAAGAATTGACCAATTTAGAGCAGAGTCATAGTGTAATGTAGCATGGAAACAGGTTCTTTGGCCCAAACCGGTCCATGCTGACCACGGTGTCCACTCAGCTAGTTCCAATTGGCTGCATTTGGCCCCTATCCCTCTAAACCCTTCCCATCCATGTACCTATCCAAACGTTTTTTAAATGTTGCTGTTGTACCTGCCTCAACCAGTTCTTCTGGCAGCCCATTCTATATACACATCACTCTCTGCGTGAAGAAGTTGCCCCTCAGGTCCTTCTTAAAGCAATCCCTTTTGATTACCATAAATCAAAGCTCTGTTGAGAATTATCCCTACAGTTATTTTAGGTTTGCGAGTCTGGATCACTGGGAAATGTAATGCAATACAGTGTCATTGGAAAATGGAATAATAGAATCCAGGGGCAGGAGTCTAGGCCCGAAACGTCAGCTTTCCTGCTCCTCTGATGCTGCTTGGCCTGCTGTGTTCATCCAGCTCTACACCTTGTTATCCCAGGGGCATGTTGGTTTAAGATCCCAGTACGCAATAGCACTGATTTAAGAAGTGAGAGATGGCAGCAATGAAAAATAGAGCAGTCTGCTAAAATTCAACCAGCATTTGATGTGAGTTCAAATCCAAAGGGGCCCAACTGAAGTAAGATGTGAAATTCTTCAACCTAAATATACACAGAGTTTGGACGTATGGTTGCTAATTCACTGTTCTAGAGAGAAAATATCCAGTAAAAGCTACACTATAATTCAAAATGATAACTGATTTCAGTGTCAAATAATATTAGTGCAGTGATGAAGCTTTCATTTATGATTTCTAGTACCAGCTCAGCTACTGTATGTAGGACACAGCCCCTTTTTAATGCCAAGATGGCATTTATCATGAACAAACAGATCATTGGATTTATTTCATTATATATCTGTAGTTCTCATTAAATTCCAGGCCACCTATTCCAGTGTTCTCAGAATCTTGAAGGCTGTAATACCATTACCCACTAAAAATGCCAGGAAAAGTTGTGAACAAAGTTCACAAAGAGTTTTTAGTTTGCATGATGTTTCTTTGTTAACTGACCACAAAATCCAAGCTCTTGACCTGGATCTTCTGAATACTATACTAATGCAGTACCTGCTGTGTGCAATAATTCTACTGACACGAGCTGTTGTGCATTTTTTCTAGGATGTCCTAATTCCAACTATCAGAGAAGTGTGTAATGCAGTAACACATGTGGAACTCCTTCAGAGCACATTTTGGGTAAGTGTGGTATCTTTAAGCATTAACTGCTATATTCTGCTAAACACTTAAAGGTCCAGTCTTTTAATGAGTGTTAGTGAATGGATGTGTGAATAGTGATTAGGTACTGGGTGAACAGCTGACACAGGATGATGGATGAGATGGATAGCTGGGTAGTTACATTGGTGACTAATCATGTCAGGGTAGTTGGGTCTGGCTTGGGGCATAGTCACATCTTGTTGGATGAATGGATGGGGGAAAGGGAGGGGCTGTGGTTAAAGAAGTTAGTCAGTTATGAGGTTGCCGAGGTGTGGGACTGAGTTTTACACTGTCTAACATTTCCTGGTTAACAATCCAGGAAAGTACCTCAGAGACATTTTCTCCGGGTTTCAGGAAGCAGAGAAATAGTTTATTGGCAATTTCCATAGGGGTCTATACATCAGAACATCTAAAGGATTCTAATGTGCATCATCCATCATATTTCTGGCCTCTTACGATCGAGGAAGATTTGAGCCATTGTATAATCAAAATTATTTTCCACCCATCCACTTCTTGGTGACTGCTTCATTTCATAATTTAATGCTCTCAGCACAGCTCACTTTGTAATGGAAAGGAGCATCACAAATTTGAGTGTGAATGCCATAATGAATTCACAACCCACATAATTTGCAATCCATTGATTTTCAGTTTAATGGATAGAAAATTGTATAGATCATAAGCATGATCCCTAACCTCCAGGCCTGAATGTGTGACATTCCTTTTCAATGAGTTCTGCTCTGCATTTAAATGCCAAACAAAAACTAACCTCCTAAATGAAGTCTATGTCCTATGAACTATACATTAGAGGCAATTAATAAAATCAGCTGTATAAAAAGTTAACATTTCTACTAAATATGAATCTCTTCAATCACAATATTTTCATTTAATAAGTAGTTATTTTCAAAACTGCATGTCTCAGACTGAAAACATACATTTAGGAAGTAATCTCCTTACATTAAATCATCTCAATTGGAAATTAGTTTGATGCTGTCAATGTAAATTTTGTCAAAAGTTATATTCTGCAAATTTACATTCAACTTTTGTTGACTTTAACATTCAGGGGATTTTTTTAAAAGTTTTGGAACAAGTTAGAGAGTTACAAAGTTCATGTGCTGAAATGAAACAATTTACTTTGTTAGGAGTTATATTTGCATTTTGTTAATACTTTTATTATAGGCACACAGTTTATCTGTTATAAAGAGTTGATCTTTTTTCTTACAGGAAAGCTGTTACATCTTATAAAAAATGTACACGATACAAGTGTAAAGAGTTTCATAAATATTTAACAAAATGTTTATTTGTTGGTACAATATGACCTTACTCTTATTACATTTTATCTTGTGCCCATTAACATTGAATACAAATATTCTAATCTGCAACCAGTTACCATTTTAAAGGCTTCTTTTACAAAATCATACAGTCATGTGTCTGTCAAAGTTCTATCTTTTTGTTGATCTGTAAAGAACATGAACAGCTATATGAAACTGGAGGAGAAACTCAAGAAAAATGCCCTACTAAAATAATGGAAATTTTATGCTTAGAGAATAACACAGTTGTTTAAAAACAAACAAAAATCTTTTCAATTGATCATTAATGTCAACCTTTAATACTTGAAAGTTCAAAATGAGATTCAGAATAAACAGTAACTAAATCAAGATTGTACACTTATTTTTGTTTTCAAAGCATTCACAAATTGTTTGCATGTGTAGCACATTTGCCTGCATATAACTGAACACTCGACTGTCTTTTTTTGTGTAATCTTTACCTTGCTAAAAAAGCAAGAAGTGCAGAATATTAAATACAGCTGGCAATATGACTTATGCTTTCAGCAGTTAGATTGCTGTCATATTTTATGTTCCAGTTTGCATTCAGGCAATAAAACATACTTTTATGTCCTGTTTTATACATTTACATTAGAAGCCTAATGCAACTGTGCAGCAGCTATAGTTTTATGCCAACCCCAAACCTATGGACTATAAATCGTGCACCAAGTCCTAGATGAACTCTACCTTCCTGGAAAATTCACTCTGGTCATATCCAGTATTGGGTTACGATTCTAGATCCAAGTTGCATTTATATTATGTGTTAAGTATCTGTCACTTCTTTTATCAAGGACTATAATAGAATATGGCAATTTGCACATAGAAATTATAACTCATTGATAATAACAGAACGCCAATTGAATTTGAAGCGTCTATGTAATCACAACTCAGTTGAGATTTTTTCTTTTAATTATATTCAATTTACAGGTTTTTGGAAGCATCTGAAAAGTGTTTTTGTCTACTTTAGATGAGATGTAACAAAAAGAATGCAAATTTAATCATAAATTTAAATAACTTCTGAAAAAATGACATATATTCAGTAATATTGAATATCTTAATCTCTCTTAAAAGCTTTCACTATGCTTTTAAAATCATCCATAGTCGTCTATCTAAACAAATTCATTATTTTGTTTTAGATACACAGTCTTGAAGTAGAGTCATCTGTGAATTAGTTTCAACGTCTTTTTCATTTTCTTCAGTTCTTCTGAAACAAGGATCAGACAAAATCAAGTTTTGTTTTAGACACATGAAACAACTCAAATGACTTCATTATTTTCTGGCTATTATATTAGAAATGAAAGGTTTAATTTATTTCCCCAGATTCCTGCTTTGGTGTATGTTTTCAATTGGTCCTAGCTGTCCTTCAACACCTCACTTAGTTGGTCATTATTTAAGTATAAATCTTATCAGTAACAGCAAAGAATGTACCTGCAAAGGACATTTTTGCTAAGCTCTTTCAGTTTTCCATCTGTGTACGCCCATGGTAGAATTTGCTACACAGTTGACTGAAGCACAACTAATTTTCATTGCTTCCTCCCAGTGCAGCATAGGCAGAGACGGAAAATAAACTTTACAGATCTGTATGCCTGAGACCTAGCGATCTTTAAGGCAATTTTCCAACTGCTCTGAGAAGAGGTTTCTCATGCTGTGACTGACATATTGGAAATTCAAGGCAACACTCATGTAAATTTCCAGTATGTACTTAAGAGCTGCCAAGTGAGGCTTCCCATTGAGAGCACAAACTAAAACATCACTTGATGCAAATCTACAGACATCAGGAGAATGTAAATGAAGATAAAAAGCATTTAGGAAAGCACATGAATATAACTAGCATGATAATTAAGCTCAATAAAACCCAAAAGAACTGCGGATGCTGTAAATCAGGAACAAGATCAGAAATTGCTGGAAAAGCTCGGCAGGTCTGGCAGCATCTGTGAAGAAAAAAATCAGAGTTAATGTTTCGGGTCTGGTGACCCTTCCTCAGGACCCGAATCAGGTCACCGGACCTGAAACATTAACTCTGACTTTTTCTTCACAGATGCTGCCAGACCTGCTGAGCTTTTCCAGCAATGTCTGTTTTTGTTCGATAATTAAGCTTGTTGTTCACAAGTACAGTTACTGTTAAGATATTAAATATACTACAGATCAATTTCCTGTTTGCTGAAACGAAAAGGATAATGGAAATAAATTTAAAAAAGTGATCTCATTACAAAGGAAAGAATAACTGACACATTGGACAATACATGTGAATACTTTAGCATGTAAGAACAAAGTGAATCTTGTTAAATCTTATTGTGTTGGTATTCCAGATGTATATAAAGTAAGATTAATAAAAAAAACAAAGGTAGCTGGTTTACAGTATAAATTTATAAAGGATTGAAACATCTGTAGTGTAATATGTGATGTTTATATAGGTCCTTGGCTCATAATCAATAATAGTAAATTATAATGCAATGTATTAGTTATGATCAAGTGATTGATCAAACATAAATATTTTAAAAGTAGGTAGTTTAAAGGTCTTCTGCTATGGTAGCTACTTTTCAAGTATAAGCAAGCCAGCCCACTGTCCAAGCAGACACATTTCCTAGCAAAAGGCACTTCGTAAGTGATTAAGAGAGGGAACCTGGCTTAATCTGACTGCACTCTAGCAGGGAGTGAACAAGTCAAGTATAGGGCTCTTGTGGCATAGTCATAGTGATCCTACCTCTCAGCCAGAAGACACACTTGATCTAGAAATGTGATATAACATGTTTGAACAGGTGGATATAAAAATATCTACAGCCCAACATTGCTTCAAATGATATTAACTAATTCAGCAGAAACCAGGTTCAGAAAATGGTCTTTCAGACTCTGTGATAAATAGGTTTACATATGCTTGGACTCGAAGACCCCAGTTTCCATCTGTGCTTCGTTTTTTTGATTTGGAAGGAGAAGGGGTACATTCATAGTGAAAGCTGATTTGGGAGTCAGGGTGGATCACAAAAAACAGAGTAGGCTGCCAATCCTTGAGGGAAGCTGGGTAGAAAGGGACTCAAGCACTGTGGCCAAAAATTAAAACGAAAGAACAAAATGTAAAATATTCCTTCCTCACTGAAACACATTCCCTGTACAACTGAGTGCCCTCTACACATGCCCCTGTGGCCACTCTGGGGCTGGTGTCTGATTAACCTGAAGTTCATGCAGCCTATCCAGTACCTTACCTATTTTGAGCCCTCTAATTAAAATACTCTGTCACTAGGACATATAGATAAACTTTTTCCTCAGTAAAGACAAGTGTAAAGTATTTATTTAATACTTAACTTATAACCTCTGCCTCTATGTGTAAATTCCCTTTTGGTCTTTAATTGGGCATGTTACTACATAAATTCATAAGTAAAAACATCATGAATGCACTCATTTAGTGGTCCTCATATTGAAGTCCCACAAAATAATTAGATTCAAAATGGGATCTGGTTATTAAAAGCTTTTTTTTAACAACAGAGATTTTGGTGGTGGAACAGGACTTGGGCAGTGTCAACAAATGAAATCAGTCCAATATATCCGTCGGTAAAATACACATTTAATGTTCAATTTTATCGGAATCAATTAGACTGAATATTGGCAAAATATTTCACTGAATATATATCACTTGTTTTACATCACTATCCACTTCCAATTTCACTCAACTAGTTTTAGAAAGAGAACAGAAGCAATTGTAAAAGTCAATCTTTTCTCATTAATTAAATGGCTGAACATTAATAAAAAACAGAGTTACCGTTTCGGGTCCGGTGACCCTTCCTCAGAACCGGACCTGAAACGTTAACTCTGTTCTTTCCTTCACAAATGCTGCCAGACCTGCTGAGCTTTTCCAGGAACTTTGTTTTTGTTCCTGATTTACAGCATCTGCAGTTCTTCCGGTTTTTATTTGGCTGAGTATTGGTGTTCATTGACAGCAGTCATTTGACATGTAACAAAATAATATCTTTTCATTCAGCAAAGTGCCCAAGTAGAAAATGATCAAATGTACTAGAGTTTAAAAAAAAACATGTTCTGCCAGCTCATACTTACCTCAGTGCAATATACAGGTTTTTTTTGGTTTATTGCTCCTATTTTCAGAACGGTCACCTATTTGAAATGAAAAGTAACTATCAATTAATGACAATAAATTACAGCTCAGAATAAAAATCGTGACATTAAAATATTAGCCTCACATATAGTGTGTATTAAACAGCTTGGACAAAACCAGTTTGTTGCCATAAAAATTAAACTACAACAGTCACATGAAGGGAGAGAGTTGTATCAATATTAAAGACATTGAGAGTTTGCCTCATTGTTTCACTGGCTGATGGGACAGGAGGAATGGAGAGAAAATGCCCTTAGCAAAATAACTGAAGACTCAGCAAAGTAATTAAACTGCTGCTGCTGTGCCATGTTTCATGGCTCTTAGATCTTTAGGAAGCAAGTTATTCTTTTACAAAGAAAGTGTATTGAATACTGTGATAAGTAATTTATAAAAGGTCCATTTATATAAGGTAAATGCAATTTATAAGAGGTAATCTTAATCACAAAATGAACATATACAGCAAAGACTGAAAGTTACCTTCCCTTCCTCATTCTAGGTAATTAAGTGGATCAGGAATGAATTTTCACATTTTGCTATGAAGAAGCCATTTCTGATGATCAAAAACTGTCATTTCACCAATTTAACATAAAGCCCAACCTGCTATTGGCTTAGTTTACACTGAAACAGTATTCTATACTTTGGTTTTATTGTATTTGTCTGTATTAGCTAATATTTTATCTGTATAAGATCCGATCTCAATTACAAAGCTGAAGAACTCCAGAGTTTCCTCACAACTAAAAATTCAAATACTAGACATTTGCTCCTTCAGATTCTCCATATTGCCAACCCACAAAGAGAACATCTAAGTTAATCAAACTGAACTCAATATTCAAAGAACAGTGCAATAGAGAATTCCACAATTCCTACAAACCATTCTCTCTGGCTTATATTTAATTGATTTATCATTCAGTGTGGCATTTCATTCTTTGGCTTTTGTTAGTCCACATTTGTGTGAAATGTTAAACCAATGGTTACCATGAAATTAATCACAACTTCCCTTTCACTTCATGACAATTTGGTCAGTGGGAACATCTTGTCTACGAGGGAGCAGACTAAGGAATCAAGGGCCACTGCAAGGCTTCAGCATCTAAATACGACTGGCACTTAAATGTGTCATGAGGGAAAGATGTAGGTTTAGAAATGCTGCCTTTTTAGATATTTTATTTAATCTTTTCAAATATGTTATGACATATGCTTGAAGCAGGTGGGATTTGAACCCCGTCCTATAAACTAACATTAACTACATTCAGAAACCAATCACTTTGGAAATATCTTACATCCTGTTGAGCTATTAAGTATTATTCTTCGCTAGCTCAGTGGTATACCTACTACACCTATTTTACATCTAATCTAAACATGCAACACATTTCATTTCATTTCTCAAATCTAGATTTTATTTGCTACTCTTCCACCCAAATACAAATTTTATCTCACATTTGTTTGGTTTCCTAACTGCTTTGAGTTCAAATTAAAAATTCATTGGCCACTGGGCTATATACTCAAGTGTGCCAGCACTTGTTGGTTGACAGTATGTTCTGAAGTAAGCAAAAACATAAGAAGGATTATTTTGTGCAGAGGACTACAGGGCTATGCAACTAGAGAGATCTTTCACCAAACACTGGAATGGAGTTTATGCATGCAGCCTCCCAATCTTCCATTTATTAATGTGTGTACTATCATCTGGTACCTGCATACTTGATATATGCAACTATCAGTGAGGCTCCCTTGGCTTAATAATTGGCCACAAACTCTCTGACTTACAGAGTTTGTTCAATCTAGGTGATTTTAATAGTCATTTGGCTTTACAGTACTTGAGTACTGCTGAAAAAAGATATGTTTTGTGAAAACCTTTCATTCTGAACACATCAGAACAATTTGTAAGAATACCAACTCAAGGGGTAAACTGCATTGAGAAGAGTCTGGAATGGCTAGTGACTGGATTCTGATCAGTAGAAACGTTGCCAAAGAAAATGCAGCCATCAATGTGGATTGATAATTAACTGCCGGACTTAATGTTAAATGAGGCAGAAAAATGAATCAGCAAATGGTTGTCACCTATTTTATTGAGTTGAAACGTAAGACCAGGAGGAATAGCAACAGGAATAGGCCATTTGGCACCTTGAGCCTACCCCACTATTCAATTGGATTATGGCTGATCTGACATCGCTCACTCATTTCCTGCCCTTTCTCCATAACCCTTGATGCCTCAGCTGATCACGAGTCTAATCTGAGCCTTAAATATACATGAGAATTCTGCCCCCACAGCTCTCTGTGGCAAGGAGTTCCAAAGATGCACAACCCTCGCAGAGATGAAATTCCTCCTCATCTCAGTCTTAAATTGGTGCCCTTTATTCTGAGACTATGCCTTTGGTCCTAGACTCTCCCATGAAGGGGAAAAGATCCTCTCAGCATTTACTCTGTCAAGTCTCTTAATAATCTTGTATGTTTCAATGAGATCACCTCTCATTCTTCTAAACTCGAGTGAGCAGAATCGCAACCTGTATAGCCTTTGCTCACACATAGGGATCATCCTAGTGAACCTTCTCTGAAATGCCTCCAATGAATTGATATATTTCCTTAATTTAGGGGACCAAAGCTACTCACAGCACTGTAAACAAATGCAATGTGTGTATGTGTCCTTTCTGTTATGGTCCTGAGTATTAATGTACACAGCTTCTAGTACGGGCTAGTAAGCCCAACTAACAATTCTAAATGAAAGAAAGATAAAAAAATTGTTGAAAAAATGTACTTCTGTTTTCAGCAATACTAGGTCATTTTCACAAATTAACTGCACCTCAAATCTGGAAAGGCCAGAACTATTTTAACCGAAGTTTAATTCAGATGCATTTTCAAAATGCATGAAAATGTAACAAGATTATGTTGCTGACTGAGTGAGTGTTTGGAATAAACGGAAAACATTTACCTTTGATTTTTTTGCTTTTCTCATCTACAGAGTTTCTGGTGGATGACTTTGGTAAAGATGAACATGAAGCAGATCTGGAAGAACGTGTTTTTGAAGGTGACGTATGATCAGTGTGCTGGGCTTTTGATTTTGAATGTGACGTATTTGTGTCAGGTATGCTTTGGTCCACATTTTGTGATACTGTCATTGCAGTGGCCACACTCGTGATTGAGTCAGGCACACTAGGTGTAGGGTCAACATGCTTAACAACATCTTTATTTAGGGAGTTTATTTCATTAACAAGTTTAGGTAGATTCCCATCTACAGTAGCATTAATTGAGTAATTTTCTTCCTCTTTATCTGCTATATTGACCTTATCTTCACTGTGACATTGTTTCAACTGTTCATGACCTTTTCCAAATAGTTTTTCACAATTAGGTTTGGAGTTTTCTTTGCAAATATTTTCTTTATTTACTTCACTTGTATTTTGATCAGTCACAGCCTCTTGTCCTAACAGAGTTTCAGTCTCATTTTTTTCAGAGTTGGATACTTGTTCAACAGACAGCTGCTGCATAGTATCTTGCACCATATTTTTTTGAGCAGGCACCTCTTCATCAGGTGGTTGCTGGGTGTCAACTTCCATCATGGGATCAGAAATACCATCTGAAACATGCGATATAGTTGTAGATTGAGGAGCCATTGCTTTTCCTTTGTCTTCTGCAGAAGGGGAACTTTGGTCTGTAAACATACATATGAATAAAGTGTTGTACAGCTATGAAAGTGAGAGTTTATACCATTGTCTACAGAGTCATCTTAAATAGTTTAAATGCTGAAAAATACCCGACATGCTCATCCCATGCCTCACAATTTAAAAAAAAGTAAAGCAGTTACCACAAAAACAAATACTTGAGAAAATATATTTAATTTAACTGAAGTTACTCAGAAGACGGCCCTTGATCAGCTATAAAGCATTTCAAATGATTCTTTAATTAGAAAGAAAAGGCATAATCATAACTTGTAATAGAACACAATTTTATATCAAAGTTATTAGAAGAGGATATAATACATATTTTATGTATATATCAGTTACTGGAGATGCAAAATTTGTGCAATTACTCATGCAGGCATTTTCATCTGTACATGTAGGTAGGTCACATGCATCAAAATGAAACAAAATCATGAAGAGATAAAGTTTAACAAAAACTTAAATAAGCTTCATTTGCTTTTTTGCTGGCTCATGAAAATAGAACTAATACAAGAGTGAAATATCATGCTTGGAAATTAGATTAGAGGGCAAAGATAGACGGATGAATAACCCAGTGTGATAAAACTGGTAATTAAAAGGGATATACCGGCTTGTGATATAGTTTAATGCAAACTCATCATAGAAATTTCTGGGGCACACATTTCACACAAGAAACTGATAATAACACACACACACACACACAAGCGTCAGATTTATCCTTTCCAGTCTTATCCCGAGTCACATATCCTGGGTCACATCAAAGTTTTTGCACCTGATTTAATGCTTCACCCTAAAGCACTGTTTCGATATTGCACAGTGCCTACCTTGTACGCCTTAGTCAGACAGAAAGATAGAAGATAGCAATTCCATTGTAAACAATGTAAATCTAACAAAAAATAAATCTGCCATTATAGCAAGTAATTTCAGTTTACAATTATGGAATAAGACAAGTACCCAGGCCAGTAAGTCAAGACAAAATCTCTCATTTTTGTTTTATATTTCAAAAAGAATGGCAGAAAATCCCAGTAATGGATGGTTTTATTTTTGTTTGGAAATACTTGTCAATTTTCCATTGAATGCAGTTCTCAAATAAATGAAAAAGACATAATTCAAACAGAAGAACGCTGAATAAGGCAAATAGTTTCGAAAGATTTCAGGTTATCTTGCAATTCTGTACTGGTTAAAAATAATTTGACAGATTTGTAAAGGTATACAAATTCAAGGTAAAATTGAGCTTGCATTAATTTTTAATTAGATATGCCCACTTCCATGCATTGCAGCAAGTCATTTTAAAGCACGTGCCCTGCAGCATATTAAGCATCAAGCAATATGGAATTAAAACATTTCAGATGATACGTGGCCATTATTTACTTGCCTATTGAAATAATTGAAAATAACAGGGATAGGGAAAATTAATTAGGAAACCAGTACTTGCAGATACCCCATTTAAAAAAAAGTTGAGGTGACAATTAGGTCAATTTGGAAATGCTGCTATTTTAGATAAAATCTAGCCAAGCTTACAGTTTGAAGCTAGATGCATGCAGGCATGTGCTCTTACCCAGTGATATTTTCATCTTAAGTGTCCCAGTAATAGAACTTTTTGGAGCAGACAAAGTTTCGCACCTGCTCCTGGCAGTCTTCTTCAACTGAAAACCCTTCCTTATGTCTGACAGAAGAGCATCAATAATACATCCCTCCTCTTGTTTTATTGATGATTTATGAACTATAAAACAAAGTGGTCACAATTTACTACAGCTTCAATATTAAAAATCATATCACAAATTTAGACAAGGCATAAACATCTTTGAGTCAAATGAAAACTAGTAATAATGGAGAAACTCGACACATTGTACATTAAATCAACATTTCGTCAGATGCAAACTGGATTACAATCTCATCATGGTTTATTTTACATTAATATGGAGTTGATGAGCAATTCCACAATGCATCTGCTCTTAATCAAAGTTTAGTAAATAAACATGATCCATTTAAGAAAACAATGGTAAATTCATTTAAAATCACCAAGTTTTTCTTCAATTCAAGACAGAACTCCTTTATATGATTCACACTTACTAACTTGTCCATTCTCTCCTTTTTGTCTTTTAGCTTCTTCTTCTTCTTGAAGCTTTTGTTTTCTCTTCTCTGCTTTTGCAATCTGCTCTTTTCTGAGCTTATTTTCCTATAAGCGTGAGAAAAAAATGTTACTCATTTTTCAACACCAACATAGAAACGATGAGGCCGGCTAAAACAATTGCTCACAGATCCACAACGTGACAGTTCAACAGAACAGTCGGGATCATTCCTAAGCCATGTCACCCTGTCATTCAAGGTACTTAGACAGTCTTGCACAGCAATGGTGCAATGTCTTCTAGTATGTTCAAAGGCTTTTGCAACTGACAGTCATCACAGGAGTAATCTTCGGTGTCAATGATGGCCATTCTTTCATTTATTCATGGGATGTCACAGGCTGGGCCAGCATTTACTGCCTATTCCTAACTGCCCTTGAGGTGGTGGTGGGCTGTCTTCTTGAACTGCTGCAGTCCATTTGATACAGGGACACCCACAAAGCTGTTACGAAGAGACTTCCAGAGTTTTGACAAGGTGACAATGAAGGAACGGAGGGTCTAGGCCCGAAACGTCAGCTTTTCTGCTCCTCTGATGCTGCTTGGCCTGCTGTGTTCATCTAGCTCTACACTTTGTTATCACCGAAGGAACGGGGATGTGTTTCGAACTCTGGGCGGTAAGTGGCATGGAGGGGAACATGCAAGTGGTATGTATTGCCATATATGAACTGCTCTTGTCCTTTTGGGTAGTAGTGGTCCCGGTTTGGGGGTTGGCAGTTATGTGGGCAGCCTGCTTTTGGCCCAAGTTAGTCCCTTACATGAGCAACGAATACACACAGGTTTGAGATGTAAAGTATCTGCCAGGCTAACATCATTTAATATTTGCTATTTGTAGTTGCATACACTAAGAAAAGGTATACTCCAGTTGCAAAAAGTTTATTTAGTACCCATTTTTAATAATTTTAAAGTTTATTGTGAGATGTCAGTTTACAATATTTGAAATTAAGGTCTTTAACACAAAACATGCAACAGACTTTATGTTGTGAATCGTGTTTGTTTGGGAGTTTGGATTTTAAAATAGGAGCAGATTGATGTTGGTCAGTTCTGTCTCGGTATTTTCTTTGAAAAACAGGTTGAGAATTAATTTGGAACAGTGACCTAATTGCATAATTTCCAAGAAAGCATATCACTGTCATGAAGTGCCTCGGAGAACCCCTGCCATGTTAATGAATGTTCATCTTACTTAGTTTGCAATAGGCCAGAAAGCCAATAGATTTAATTTCTTTTAGGTCAGGGGAACTCGTCATCATAGCTGAAGTCCTTTAGTTTGATGAACCTTATAAGCCAGGAGAGATTGGATAGAAAACTTCAAGTTTTTAGAACTGATAAAGTCTAGGTCATTAGAATTGAAAGCCAGTAAACCTGTAAAAGTATCATAATATTGTTTCCACAATCGAAAGAAGAGAAACACAGGAAGCAGTTAAGTAAAAACTTAACTAGACAAGACAGGAGTGAAATTTCTCAGACTGGGGTATCTGTAAAAGGACAGCAAAACTTGGTTTTGCCATTTGTATCAAGATCAGTGGTATATAAATACAGTTATATTTGCATTTTTATCTCTCTTTTGCATAGTAAAATTGTGTTGTAAAGGAACATCTACAGTTTTGTGTGGACATGATTCAGTGACTAACCAACTGCAAAAATTAAACATATCAGATCAGGTTTTGTTTTAGGATTTTACATATCCGGTATTATCAGATGGGATTGTAACAGATATATATTGAAGTTATGCAGAATTACCTTCATGGCCTTAAGGAAACAATCTCTGAAGGTTCTGATGGTTAGAAATAGTTCCTCTAGTGACAATTTACTAATATCATCACAGAAGTACTCGGCCAGTTTCTTTCTCTCTGCCTCAACATCTTCCAGAAGTTCCTTCAGTTTAATTGTTTCAGACAAACTTTCCTGAAATCATAGTTTTAAAAAAAGTTAAAATATCACAATAGGCAGCTGAAACGCTCAATTATTTACAGTTGCTGTTGTACTTGCCTGGATAGGTTTATCAAACAGTAATTTTATATCATCTGCTGATGACTTGACTTTATTACCAATCATCTTGAGACGCTCTAAGAGGTTGACTGTATCCGATTGAAGCGAATCCACGCTCAGGCTGCCAGTAAACATAATCTCCAAGTTATAAAAATGGTGGGTCGGTCAACAATTAACAATGCAATATTGATAGATGGGATAGGTAAGAAAGGGAAAAGAAACAACGGCATATATTTCAACAACATGGTAATCTTAGCTATTGTTTTATCTCAGCTAATTTTCTTTTCTGGTCTCTTACTCCACACTGTGCTTCTAGGAGACAGTCTAGATTCTACCCTTTGGAAAGACACGCCAGAAGAAATATCAACTATAGAAGTAAATTTTCCCTTAATCAGATGGAAGATCCTCACAAACCTCATTTTACACATAGGCTAGCTGAGATTGAGATTTGAACTTGGACCTTCTTACTAGACCTCGAAGCTTGCAATTTTTGACAAGATTTTGGATTCCTAAAAGAATAATGTTAATTATCCTCAAACTGTAGCTCCAAGACTTTTCTAATTAGTATAAAATCAAACAGCAATTAGTAGATGTCAGACAGTCAAAAGTCACTTTGCCTTAACAGTATAATGCAACAATCTTTTTTCAGTTCTGTTGGTAGGCCTTGATTCTTGTGTTATAGAAAGAGTTTGCTTTTAAAGTTTTGTTTAATAAATAAAATTGTCACTTCAGACACTATTTAAGAGAAAACCACTGTTAAAGTTAGACAGCTAGCAAAAAAATTACAAATGGTCTTCTTACCCTCCTGCTTTCGAAATATTTTTTAGATCTTCAGGAAGATTCAGAAGATCTGGATGGGACTTTTCAATCTCCTATAACATGTAGAAAAAAAAATCAAAAAATATTTAGATACTACCTAACATAAAAACAAAGATGGAAAATTGTAAAAGATATCACACCTCTATTGTATGATGGAGCAATGTAATCCTGGATCGGTTTGCTTTTGTTTCAGTTAGTTTTAGTAGAGTGTTGATTTTAAATCCATCCGCATTTCCTGTGTGACTGCCCTGATGAAAGACAAAGAAAACACAAAATACACATTTAAATATTTACACAAATGTAATAGAAGTTATTAGTGCAAACAACTGTTGTAGATTTTGAATAGTCAAGAGACATCTCTAATTTTGTACATCTTTTGCAACCCTTGTTCCTCACAACAATGTTTTCTTATCGTTTATTGGAAATAGTATACAAAGAAAAATAATTAAAATTTGCAAAAGTTTATTTTCAAAATAGCAATCTCTAGCAGTGTAACATAATAATGTATTAATTACTTTTTCAAAAATTTTGTTTAACCAGTTCTAGCTTCCTAGAAGACACTGTGTAAACCTGTCCACTGAATACGTACATAGTTAAGGAAGTTTCCAATTTTAAGAATCAGGTCACAGAAGAGGGGTAGTCTTTTGGCAGAACGAAGATCTGGTCAAAAGCAGAAAACAATTACGGCATAAATATTTCAGCCTGCTAACATGAATTTGGTGATTATATTTGACTAGAGATCTTTAAAGTCATATGATGATGATGCATTAAGCAAAGCTATTACAGAAATTTAAAAAAATGAACAAATAATGCTTTCATTTGGATTTTTTTTTTACATTGTGCTCACAAACATTTATTGGCACTCAGTTGGAAAATATCTAGATTATTTACTTCTCCTCCTTGCTTTCAGGTTGCTCTGTGACCTGAAGCTCCCCATTTCCTCCAGTCTAAATTCCTTCAAAGATCTCACAGGGCTAGATATTACAGGCCCTTACTGAATGCTTTCCAGTGGGTGGGCACTGTAGGAGAGCACCCAGTCTGCCATCTTTCTAACCCAGCAGTGATATATGTAAATCAACAATTAAAATGGTCAATTAAGCATGCCCAGTGTTAGCATGGACAGATCGTGGAATTGGGATTCCAATTTTTAAAATAAGTTTATAAAATGGCAGAAATTTTAGAACACTGTTGTCTTTAGGAGATGCCCATGTGCATTGGGGCATCCCTTGAAGTTAGTACCCACCTTCATACTTCGCCACCTGCCTTTGCAAAACCCACCACCATCTCTGACCCTCCCAGATACTCTCAGATTTACCTCAGTCCAGGTTTCATTGGATCACTCATGGGTCTGTTTGCAGTACCGGCACTGCCCACTACTGAGCTGTGGAGCTGCCCATACTGCTGGCGTTGTCTGCCAAACAGACTACCAGATCTAGCAACAGCTCGCAAGGGCATGACTTTCCTCCCATGGAGGGGCAGAAGTTCTATAATGAGACAATTTAGTCCACTGCAGTATGGTTGCAGATAGACTTCCAATGGGCACGTCAGCTTCCAGCTGCCTATTAAGATCTGAAATTTCCTTCATAGACCTCTGTTGCTTTAGATTTCTCACTTGCTTTAAGAGGCTCACCTAGACCTTGCACTTTGAACATGACTTTGATGACCTGTCTTATTATCTCCTTATGTAGTTTGATGCCAACATGTTTGGTACACCATCCTGTGCAGTACCTTATGGTACTTTGCTTTGTTAAATGGGTTATAAATGCTAGCTCTTGTTATGTAGCAGGGCATTATATAGTTACATAATTACAAGACAAAACATTAGCACAAACTCATCAATAAATTCATGTCTCTGTTCTGTAAACATTCATATCTGCTTTTAAAAGTGATCATAATAGCACTGAGGTCTTAATGTATTTAACTGTTTGATTAGAAGTGTGTTGATTAAGTTGAAAGAACATCACACTTACTGAACAAAAAGTAGCTGGACAGATAATGGTCTTGAAATCACACAAACAAAATCTAAGATATTTGTGTCGTACTGGAGATGGCAGAGAATACTTTGAGTACAATTTTGCATCCTTCAAATTGAGGATGGCCATGAGCAGGGAATGGGCAACAGGCAAAATGTGGCACTAAATTTGCTGCCAGTGTTTCAATGTATAGCATCAATATCAGAATGCTGGTCAGATGCTTGTTGTGTTCTGTACTTTAAACACTCATTCTGAGAGCACCATATTTACCATTAAAATTTACCTTGACAAGCAGTTTTAATTAGTTCTGCCTTTGGTTGGAGCAACTGAAGGGTAACAGTAGCCTCTTCACACAATAACATGCAATCAATCCTTAGCTGGTAGCTGTTGAAGAACGAGGCAAAGAAATAAACAAGCAAACAAAAATAACTCAATTAAGACTGTAAAACTAGAGAGCATTTGTAGAAAATTAACATGTTTCAGGCAAATGAGAGATCAGGATCTACTTTTGCATCTCATCATTGAACAGTTAATACTAGGTTAACAAAGCAAAAAAAAATTCCTGGTTAAGTATTACAATAATAAAAGATACTAAAAATGCCAAGAATGGAGTGAGTGAATTACTTGAACCAGGGAAACATCACACCATTTAAAGTGGCTGGCCCAGAATGTACAAAATGGAATACAAAATATGAATTTGACTCATTCTTCTGGTGGAAATCAGAGCAAGAAAAGCCTTAAGGAAATATCTCCTGAGCTGGATTGGAGAGATTCCTAGATTTTTGGCAAAAAATACACTTGATTTGTGCACTTTACACATGCTGCTGTTCAATATGAAAGGAGGAATATATCAATATCTTCCCAAAATAATTAGATTCTCATTAAGACAAAGCCAATAACAATACTTCCATTCCTTTACATCACTATACTTATGTTTGGTCTCAGGTAGGTTAGGCACTTTAGTGCTTGCATGCTAGAAACAATTACAACTGCAGATAAAACCTGACATTTATGATCCAAAGAATACATTTTGTACACAAAATAAATCAGTCAAAATAGTGATCAAGTTAACTATGATATAATTATTCCTTTGAGTTTAATGTCTAATTTCCAAGCTTAGTACATTAGCAGCTAATAACAGACTGTTTTAGCACTGGTAATCTAGTTTATGTCCACATTCTCTGGTGGTTTATATATCAATTGTGGAAGAGGTACTAACTGTTATTCGCAAAATTTCACCAAACAATCTGCACTTGTTAAATTCTATTGGAATGAAAAGTAGTTACCAGGAAGAGTTTTGCCACTCACTATTTCTAGAAAAAAATCATGAAGAGGATCTTATTTACAGGCATGCAATTTTACTAGAAATAAATTCACTGAAATACTTGCCTATTCAGTATGAGTTAAAAAAAGGGCAGAGGTTCAAAGAAGGATTTTAAAATTAACTTAGGTGTAAACTTATTTCAAAATAAAAATTCAACTCTTTCATCTTTGTCAGTAGTGTGTTGGCTAATTCTTATTTATTCATTCCTGGGATTCTCTCCTATTCTTGTCACTTTTTTCAGAGTCTTAGAATCATAGAATCCCTACAGTGTGGAAGCAGGCCATTCAGTCCATCAAGCCCACAAAGACACTCCGAAAAGCATCCCAAACAGACCCACCCCGCTACCATTTCCCTGTATAACCCTGCCCTTCCCGTGGCTAATCCACCTAAGGCACATCCCTGGACATTATGGGCAATTTAGCATGGCCAATCCACTAAACCTGCACGTCTTTAGGTTTCTTTAATTCAATTTTCTGCCAAACTACTGCAGTACTTTGAATATTAAAACTCGTTTTTAAAATCAGTAGGAACTCTAAATCAAAATGTACAACTTGATTGTGAGAATTATTTCCCACTTATGAGCTGCGGTAGCATTTCCGAGTGGATAATTTTGAATGAGGCAACCAGCAAATATAACTTGTATCTGAGAAAAACATGCATAACAATGCTCAGTTACAAAATGATACCAGTAATACTTACCAAGGAATATCAAGGAGAAGAAGGTAAAAGTGGTCGGCACTTGCTAATTTTTCTTTTTCTCCATTGTAGGCCTTTATGTTTTCTATCTGCACATGGAATGAATGTTAAGAAAGTCTGAATTAGTCTGAAAATGTCTGAACTAACACTGACCGACTTGATTTTTAAATCTGGTATTCATTGCATTGTCAACTTACTTCATGATTCTCTGGCATTAGTTTCTTGAGTTGCTTTAAATTCTCTACATCGAATTTAGATCGGTCCCCTCGCCTGATCATATCTGTCACTTCTTCATCAGAACTAATAACATTGAAAAATTAAACTTTAATCATACTTTTTGCTTATAAAGAAAGCAATCAAAACAACCAAATTCTCAGCAAACCAGGGACGCAGCATTCTACATTATACAGAGCTTGCTCTGTTTTGATGAAAACATCCAGTTTCCAAACACATAATTAATATAAAACAAAGAACTGTGGATGCTGGAGAACTGAAATAAAAACAAAGGAAATTGCTGGTGAAACTCACCAGGTCTGGCAGCATCTGTGGGAAGAAAGTAGAATTAATGATCAAGTTTGATGAATCTGATGAAGAGTCACTAGACTCGAAACATTAACTCTGTTTTCTTCCAACAGATGCTACCAGACCAGTAAACATAATTAATACTCAGCTATGGAGAATCTGCACCTCGGTGGTGTAAGTTAAATAGATTTCCTTCTTTTAAAACTTGCTTTGTTGAGTCCTATATCTAACGCTTTATAATGGTAAAAAGTTGCAGCATGCTGCTACGCAGAGGGACCTGGGTGTCCTTGTGCATGAATCACAGAAGGTAGGTCTGCAGGTACAACAAGTAATTAGGAAGGCAAATGGAATTTTGTCCTTCATTGCTAAAGGGATTGAAATAAAAAGCAGAGAGGTTATGTTGCAGCTGTACAAGGTGCTGGTGAGGCCACACCTGGAGTACTGTGTGCAGTTTTGGTCTCCTTACTTGAGAAAGGATGTACTGGCACTGGAGGGGGTGCAAAGGAGGTTCACTAGGTTGATTCTGGAGTTGAGGGGGTTGGCTTATGAGGAGAGACTGAGTAGATTGGGATTATATTCATTGGAATTCAGAAGATTGAGGGGGGGATCTTAGAGAAACATATAAAATTATGAAGGGAATAGATAAGATAGAAGTAGAGAGGATGTTTCCACTGGCAGGTGAAGCTAGGACAAGAGGACATAACCTCAAGATTAGAGGGAGCAGATTTAGGACTGAACTGAGAAGGAATTTCTTCACCCAGAGGGTTGTTAATCTATGGAATTCCTTGCCCAGTGAAGTAGTTGATGCTACTTCAGTAAATGTTTTTAAAAAAAAGGTAGATTTTTTGAACAATAAAGGAATTAAGGGATACGGTGAGAACGCGGGTAAGTGGATCTGAGTCCACGAAAGGATCAGCCATGATCTTATTGAATGGCGGAGCAGGCTCGAAGGGCCAGACGGCCTACTCCTGCTCCTAGATCTAATGTTCTAAAAAAAAACAGCCAACGTGAACAAAAACCAATAATCAGCTGTAAAGGAAATAGTTTGCTGGCTCTGACTGACGTGCTGGCTTATTCTGCGATCATAAAAAGACTAATTAGCCCATCAAAGCTCATTGCCTGAGGAAGGTAGTGAATAGAAGGCCATTTGCATCTTTGATGTGGGACTCATTGTTGGGCCTCTTTCAATCTGGACCTGTTGCATCCAAAACGAGGGTGGCGATGGTGATGGTGATGGTGATCTGGAGGTGTACTCCAGCTTAAAAGGGCTAATGAGGCAGAAAAAGAATACTTTATGTACCCGTCATTGGAAGGAGCACATTTGCTAAAATTAAAAATTAAATTAAGCATGGACTGACGCTTAAGGTCCCCTTTCTATAAAAAAGACTGGAACAAATGGTTCAAGTGCAGGAGTTTGCCATTCACCCTCAAACGTTTCCTACAGGCCCACAAGATCTAGAAGCAGAAATAGACTATTCAGCCCATTGAGTCTGGTCCACCAATCAATGGAAGTATGGCTGATTTGATAATTCTCAATCCCATGTTCCGCCTTTCCCCCTTAGCCCTCAATTCTTTTACTGTTTAAAAATCTGTCTATCTCAGCCTAGAATATAACTAAAGAACTCAGCCTCAACAGCTCTCTGTGTTTAAGAACTGCACAGAAACACACTTATCTGAAAGAAGAAATTCTTCCTCATCTCTGTCTTAAGTGTGTGACTCTTCTTCTGAGATTATGCCCTGTGGTTCTGGACTGCCCCACAAGGGGAAACAACCTCTCCACATCAACCCTGTGAAGTCCTCTAAAGAATCTTATATATTTCAATAAGGCCACCTCTTATTCTTCTATATTTCATTGAATACAGGTCAAATCTAACCAACATCTCCTTAGAAGGCAGACCCTCCTTTGCCAGTAGTAGCTTAGTGAACCTTCTTTGGACTGTCCCCAGTGCCAGTATATCTTTCCTTAGTAAACAGGCCCAAAACTGATATGATAGCACAATGGTAATTTTATTGAACTAACAGAATCCAGCAAACACAAGCTCAAATTGCACTGCGGAAACTTGAGAATTGATTTTTTTAAAAAAGCCTGGAAATATAAAGATGATTTCTGTAGAAATAGCCATGGACTTTATTGAGTAATATATGGGATGGAGCAAATCTGCCATCTTTACCTAGTCTAACCTATAAGTCACTCCATTCTCAATAATTGCAAGGAGTGTTAAATGTCCTCTGATACAACGGAATGGTTTGCCAGGTTAACTCAAACTGCTGCCAATGGTTTAAGAAGGTTGCCCAAACCATTCGCGGGTCATTCATTGATAGGCAATAAATGCCAGACTCTCTGATCTAAAGAATGAATTTCAGAAATTGACATTAAGTCGTAAGTTACCAGCTGATAAGCAAAGAACTGAAGCAACAATAGTTATTGTTTAAAAAAAATGACACATGAAAAGCACATAATCACGACATAATTTGGATACATCAACTCATTGGAAGAAGTGGAACAAGTGCCAGCAATCTTGAAATGTGGTTTAAGTGTTTCATATTTTACAAATGCCCACACTAAATTATATGCAAACATAATCTACTTAAATGTAACTCACCATTTGAACTGCTTTAAAAATATGTTTAAGTTAAGGCTTTTCCTGGAGTCTAGAAATGTGATCTGGGATGAGAAGAAAATAAGAACAAATGAGTTTATACATAAAGAATTGCCTGTGTTTAAAAGACTGCTTTAATTCAATGGAACTTGCCTCTTTCTGCTCCTTTTTGCTAACAGTTTGTTCTTTCTGTTTTGGTTCTGATACTGGAAAGCTGAAGAGTTGCTCAATACTGGCATAATCAAGATCAAAATGTTCTTCAGTATGTTTTGGGATGGATGACCATAAGGAATTTCTCTCTGCAGAAAAGAAAGAAGGGAGAAAGAAACCAAGGTTTCATTTTATACATTCATTAAAAGCTAAGAGATATGGACAATATGCTATTTTTTATATTTTCTATTTCTAGTTTCTTCATGCCATTTAAAATTCACTGACCAAGATAACAATTGATAGATTTGCTACAATGGGAGCCCCAGTCAGCTATTACCAAATAAGCCACAAAGCCATCCCTATTTGGTTGTCTTCCCTTTACAGACAACAGACACTTCGTTCAGAAATTCCCTGAACCGCATGTATTGATCATCATTCGTAAGGTACATCTGAAGGGTCATATGGGATGATAAAATATATCAGTATGGCTGGAGTTTTGGTTTGAGGTTCTCTTTAGTTGGCATACAGAACAATAAATAGACTGGGATAATGTTTGGACTGCCTAGTCATTGCCAGGCAAATTCTGTGTCAAATTATAATGGTAAAATAAGCTACATCCTGTCAATGTAATACATTGATTCTTTTCTATGCAGTACATTGGAACATTTCAATTATTCACATAAATGGACTATTAAATGATATTACCCATAGCATCATTGCATTCAAATTGAAACTGTGGACCTATGAAGCTAAACCCTAACAAACAGCACTAGAAAGGTAAACTTCAAATGTTCAGTGGCCATGCTAAGAGGCAAAAACAAAGTTGCTGGAAAAGCTAAGAGTCAAACCTGGTAACAGCTGGGGTGGAGGGGGATGGACAATGGATGCTCTCATAAAACATTCTGCAGGGAAGACTAATACACACTTCCACTCAGTGCAGAAGAGCAGTGCTCAAAGCAAACCAGCAATAACATTTCCAGGGACTTTAAGAACATAAGGTAAATTCACAAATCTCACAGAGGGAACTGAAGAAAACAGAAGGTATACTGCTGCAGAGAATACATAATCAGAGATATAAAGAACTAACGCAGAAGTTGGTTATAACATTGAGTTGTTTATGTTTTTCAAAGGGTTATAACGTTATATAATCAAAGCCTAAAGGTCCCATTTGGAATTGAAAATGGGATAATAAACATGTTAATAACTATTGCTGGGCAGTTTTAAAATCAGGGAAGAATTCAATCTTATATCTCATATCAAAAATAGTACGGGTACTCCGAGACTTATGTATTACTGAAGCCGAGGGAACTAAAGGGGATTGAGGGGAAGAAACCAAGAAAACCCCAAAGTATTGTAGCCCCAGATTTTAGAGAGATTTGTTGCGTTTGAGACATCAATGAAGATCAAAAATAATAAATGGACAAATGTAGCTCATTGAAGAAAAATTACATCTTGCAATTCAAACACAGTAGCCTAGCTCAACCTTTAAATATGAATGAAGGTAATAACCACAAGATGAAAATAAAAACTATATGACGATAACCTAATAAATGACAGCTAACGTGGATTCAGGGATATAGATCAGCCCAGACTTATTTCCTTCTGAAAGTGACATTTCACACCAACAGGGATGGTAAAAAGTAGTATGTGATAGTGTTAGAAGGCCCAAACCTTCTTATCTTCACCTAATCCATAAATGCGATGCATAGGACTCCACTTCGTCACTCAGACTACATATGGTTAGGCTTTAACCACCCAAAAATGGGTCGGATAGCATTGTGTCAAAAGTTACAATTTTTGATTTTATTTTGAAAAGGATTTTAATCTGCACGCTGCCTGGTTTACTGAAGTTGGCCAGGAGAAAGACAGTTAACTCACTGCTAGAAGCCAGGTTGGCTATTCAAATATTTTAATGAATCTTGGAGACCCCCGATAATTCCTGTGAACCAAGGCTTGTGGGCTTTCTCCAGCCTCTAGATCCCTGACAGCTGTAGTGAAGCAGGGCTCAGGGAGAAGGTAAGGGTCTTTACCGCATGGCTTGTGACTGCACTTCCTCCAGTCTACCACTCAAGTTCTGCCGCAACACACAACCCCAGGGTCAGGAATCAGACTGTCCTCTTGGGATCGGAATTTCCTTCATCCTTTCCAGATCAAACAACCATATCTCAGGATCCATAACCAGATTCCCTTTCCCACAGGGTCACGATCTGATCTGGTCTTCCCACCTGCTCCAAATATGCCTGAAAGCCAATCCTGTCAATCAGGCTGATTTCTGGATGGGAAGCTTAGCAAGGATGAAAAATGTTCACATTGGGGTTAATACTCCACAACATCTGAGAAAACCTGGATTCCTGTCTGAAATGCAACACTTCCATCCCACCCCAACCTTGTTAAGGCACTCCTGTTGTTACTTTCCAAGACATGCATACATCAAACTGTAGATGCTAATGCAGCTTGGCATTGGATTTAAGACTCATCTACAGATTATGCAACATTAGGAACAATGTTTTTCAACTTCATGGCCGACAAGTTCCAAATAGAATTAATCAAATTGGAAGAAATAAAAATGCAAATGGAAAAATGTTGCTTCATAGGTCAGATTTACAGGTTTTGCAGGTTTCTCATCATTCACTGTCAAACATCTAAAAAAACCTTTGGTAAAATACAACTAGAAAGGAAGAGGCCTTGGCAATAGGAAGGTGTGAGAGTGGATTATCATTTGGTTGAAGGGATGAAACATTACATGATGCTTTTGAGAGTGACTTTGAAATGGAGGCAAATATTGAGTGAAGAACCCTGGAATCTGAGCTGCGGCCCTGTCTATTCCTGACACATTCGCCTAGATTTCCAACTACATTGCAAGGCAGTAAAATTTACAACAGGTAGCAAATGGAGGGAGAAAGAAAGACTGAATGGATGGGACAGAATACTCCAATAGAAAGATTTGTAAAGAGTCAGAGGTTTTAATTAATTGATTGCTTACCAGACCTAAGAGTGCAAAGTAGCAGTATATAAAGCAAATTAAAGAGTATTATCAACAAGTCAGTTGAAGTTGGGAAGTGCTGTGCATAGGCTGAAGCTGAGGAGACAACGGCATAGTAGCAATGCCACTGAACTAGTGGGCAAATGTTTTGGGAGAACAGGTTCAAAATCTATTACAGCAGCTGAAGAACTTTCATATCATGGCACCATTATGATCAACGATTGTTGTAAAATGTCCTAATGTTCACTAACATCCTTTAGGCAAGGAAGGAATCTATCTTTACTTGTTCTGGCCTGTGTGTGACTCCAGATCCACAGCAATGTGGCTGACTCTATACCATCCTCTAAAACAACCTAGCGCGCCTATTAGGTGAAGGATAATTGCGGAAAGGCAAGAAATCCCTACAACCCGTGAAAGAGGCAAACAAATCTGAAAGTACAATGTAGTCCTTGGGTTACTGCAACAGAAAAGTCATGTGGGTACTTCCATGCTGGGAGAATGATTCAGGAAGGAAAACTGGGCAGAGAATGGAATGGATAAACTGTCACAGGTTTCACATTCACCACGGGATAGAACAAAGGATGGGTTGTCAAAAACAGGATACTGGGCTTAATTAAAATATAGCCAGGTCTTCTTGCAATAGAAATACATTAGGACTAGTATCTTGTGATGACACAATAAAGTTGAATTGGTTTCTGCCACCACCTTTAGAGAATTTCTTCAAATGGTAACATAACCAGCATTGCTTTCCTGCTCATTTCAGTCTTACCTCTATTCATAGAGTATCTACTACCCTTTAAGGTTGCACTAAAATTTATTTTTGTGAAAGCTACACATACCTGAAGCCATCCTTGAAGGGATTTTCTGCCAGTTCAGCTTTTTCATCCGTAATGTTGGGCGGTGAACCTGTCGCTTAGGTGGAGCATATGAACCTAACAGATTGCCAGCATGGAGTGGCATGATGGGTGCATCGGGGATAAATGCCCCTGATGGTGGAGGAATGCCACCAAGAAAAGGTGGGGGTGGGGGAGGGGGAGGGGGGCCACCGGCACCAGGGAGAGGG